AATGAGGTGATAGCCGAGGCTATTTTATGAGGACCTCATTATGTCCGGTCGTGATGGTCAAGTGGATTAAGGCGTCTTGTACATACCAGTTGCGTTGCTCCTGGGAGTATGGGTTCGAGTCACTTCTGGGGTGTGAGTTTTCAGTTGCATATTGTCCTGGGGACCATTCAGGCTTGTTCGCATATATATATACATATATATATATATATATATATATATATATATATATATATATATATATATATATATATATATATATGTCGTACCTAGTAGCCAGAACGTACTTCTCAGCCTATTATGCAAGGCCCGATTTGCCTAATAAGCCAAATTTTCATGAATTACTTGTTTTTCGACTACCTAACCTACCTAACCTAACCTAACCTAACCTAACTTTTTCGGCTACCTAACCTAACCTAACCTATCAAGATAGGTTTGTTTAGGTTAGGTAGGGTTGGTTAGGTTCGGTCATATATCTACGTTAATTTTAACTCCAATAAAAAAAAATTGACCTCATACATCATGAAATGGGTAGCTTTATCATTTCACAAGAAAAAAATTAGAGAAAATATATTAATTCAGGAAAACTTGGCTTATTAGGCAAATCGGGACTTGCATAGTAGGCTGAGAAGTGCGTTCTGGCTACTAGGTACGACATATATATATATATATATATATATATATATATATATATATATATATATATATATATATATATATATATATATATATATATATATATATATATATATATATATATATATATATATATATATATGTCGTACCTAGTAGCCAGAATGCACTTCTCAGCCTACTATGCAAGGCCCGATTTGCCTAATAAGCCAAGTTTTCATGAATTAATTGTTTTTCGACTACCTAACCTACCTAACCTAACCTAACCTAACTTTTTCGGCTACCTAACCAAACCTAACCTATAAAGATAGGTTAGGTTAGGTTAGGTAGGGTTGGTTAGGTTCGGTCATATATCTACGTTAATTTTAACTCCAATAAAAAAAAATTGACCTCATACATAATGAAATGGGTAGCTTTATCATTTCATAAGAAAAAAATAGAGAATATATATTAATTCAGGAAAACTTGGCATATTAGGCAAATCGGGCCTTGCATAGTAGGCTGAGAAGTGCGTTCTGGCTACTAGGTACGACATATATATATATATATATATATATATATATATATATATATATATATATATATATATATATATATATATATATATATATATATATATATATATACATATTATTTTGGTAGCAGTCTTTCCTGTAGACATATATTATTAAATATGACCGAAAAAGTAAGATTAATAATTCTAACATGAATTTTCTCAATATTTCTTATGTTTCTTTTCACTGTCGATGGTAATTGAAAAATCAATTCTCCAAAATTCATTTTTATTTCTAGTCTGACGTGACACTTGAACGCGTTTTGTAATAACTTATTACATTTTCAAAGACTTTAGTTTACACACACACAACTATAACCTGCAAACACTAAACAGAGTTTAAACAGCTTTCATTTTATACCTGCATTTGGGTGACGTGATATGTTACAACAGTTTTGGATGAGGTGAAAACAAACTTTCAACACAAGATAGAACACGAAACAATGGGTATAATATTGGGTACGTTAAAGGGAAGAATGAAAGTAACTGCAAAGGGCCTATTGGCCCATATTTCTTGATGCTTCTATATTGGTGCGGTGTCTTGAAGTGGGTAGAATATAGCTGTGCATTAATTGGCTGTTGATTGCTGGTGTTGGCTTGTTAATGTGTAGTGCCTCGCTAATATCAAGCCGCCTGCTATCACTGTATCTATCGATGATTTCCGTGTTTTTTGTTAATACTTCTCTGGTGATGGTTTGGTTGTGGGAAGAGATTATATGTTCCTTAATGGAGCCCTGTTGCTTATGCATCGTTAATCGCCTGGAAAGAGATGTTGTTGTCTTGCCTATATACTAAGTTCTTTGAGGCTTACAGTCCCCAAGTGGGCATTTGAAGGCATAGACGACATTGGTCTCTTTTAAAGCGTTCTGCTTTGTGTCTGGAGAGTTTCTCATGAGTAGGTTGGCCGTTTTCTTGGTTTTATAGTAAATCGTCAATGGTATCTTCTGATTTTTGTCTGTAGACATAACGTTTCTATTAACAATATCTTTCAGGACCCTTTCCTCCGTTTTATGAGCTGTGGAAAAGAAGTTCCTGTAAAATAGTCTAATAGGGGTACAGGTGTTGTGTTAGTTGTCTCTTCAGAGGTTCAATGCCATTTCACCTTCCTTCTTATGATGTCTTCAACGAAATTTTTGGAGAAGCTGTTGTTGACTAGGACCTGCCTTACCCTACAGAGTTCTTCATCGACTTGCTTCCATCCTGAGCTGTGGCTGAGAGCACGGTCGACATAAGCGTTAACAACACTCCTCTTGTACCTGTCTGGGCAGTCGCTGTTGGCATTAAGGCACATTCCTATGTTTGTTTCCTTAGTGTAGACTGTAGTGTGGAAACCTCCGCTCCTTTCCATGACTGTTACATCTAGAAAGGGCAGCTTCCCATCTTTCTCCATTTCGTAAGTGAAACGCAACACAGAATTCTGCTCAAATGCCTCCTTCAGCTCCTGCAGATGTCTGACATCAGGTACCTATGTAAAAATGTCGTCAACATACCTGCAGTATATGGCCGGTTTCAAGTTTATGTCGACTAAGACCTTTTGTTTGATGGTCATAGTCGACATCAAAAGGTCTTCCTCGTCTTTGGCTGCTGAACCTAGCCCTGTAGCCTCACCTCGGGTCCCTACCGTGCTGGGTGCTGGGGTGGCAGCGGAGCCTCCTGCTGTGTGTGGTCCGGTTCCTCTTGTGGTTGAGGCTGCTGCCATTCTGCGTCGGGCGTCGGTTCGTCCGGTTAGTGGTGCCCGTGTTTCTGGGTCGGCTTCTGGCGCTGACGATATCCGGCCGGAGCCCAAATATCCCGGCGTTCGCCTACTGTCTGAGCGGATGTTGGGGACTTCAGTGACTGTGGGTCTTCAAGTGTTGACGGCGTGGATCCGGATGCGTCGTTGTCTCTGCGGTTGGTGGTGGTGGAGGTTCATGTGCCTGCTGGTGCTGATGCCAGTGTCTCGGGTGTGCCTTCTGTTCCTTCCCTATCCGGGGCTCTCCACAGTGGGGTGTGTTGGCTTTCACTGCCGAGGTTAGTGCGGATGCTGGTACTAGTTCCCTGCAGTCGTCTGGTGGTGTGCCTGTGGCTCCTGGTGCCCCTGTGATGGTGCCTTCTGACCGGCTCTCTCCTGTGGGCTTGCGACTTGAGGCTTTGGAGGCCGTGGTTGCCGAATTCCTGCGGTCTGAGGTACCAGAGGACTATCAAGATGGGCGGGTTCCCGATGTATGGCGTAGGGTGGCGGTTACTCGCCTCCGGTGTAACACCGTCTGGGTTCCCTGCTTGCAGGTGTTTGTTGCTGGGGTTCCGGATAACATGGCGTCCCCCGGTGGAGGGTCAGACCACTGGGGGAAGTGGCTGCTTTGGGAGGCGTTTAATGTGCGGTTCCCCCGGGTCTTGTTCCCGGGCAAATATGTCAGCTGATTCCATGTTACTGTAGTGTTGTGTGCCCCTATGGCCTTTTGCTTTCCCTATTGTATTTTGTACCCGAGCCTTTCGCTTATTTGTTGCGTGGTAGGAGTTTTGGTGAGGGCGTTTTTGTTCCTGTATTTGTTTTTGTGTTGTTACATTGCCATGTGTGTTCTACTTCTGCATTGCTAGTTGTGTGCTGTGCGTTTTTCTTGTTCTATTTTCATGATGTCCTTTATGTTGTGTTTTTGTTCTTGGTACTTCAGGCCGGTGCTTGTTTGTTTGTTGTATAAGGTACTATGTTTCGTTTCTTGCTTGCATGGTGTGCTTGTTTGTTATTATTGTATATTTTGGGCCTCTCCCTTTGTTTGTTGTGAGGCGGTTGGTGTAATGTGAGTGTTTTTATTCATGTCTTGTTTCTGTGATGTAAATTTGCACTGGTGTTTTCTGCTTGCATTACTTGTTGTACTTGTTTGTTATTTTTATTTTGTTTGTTGTATTTTGTGATTTTCTTGTTATGTTTTATATTGTTACTCTTGTTGTTGGATTTGTTTTGAGATGTTTTGTTTTGTACTATTACTGTGCTTGCTTGTTTGACATTGTTTTGTATATTGTGTCTTGGTGTATGCTATGTTGCTCGTGCATTTACCGTGTTTGTAATATGTTGTACTGTGATGTCGGCCCTTCTGGTCGGTGGTTTCTTGTTTTGTTTTGTTATGTTTTCTGTGTTCTTGTCTTGTTTTTTATTTTATTTAATTTGCATGCTATGCATGTAAAAATAAAAAAATAAAAAAAAAACTTCCTATCTTTTTTAAATGTTCTGTTGCCATCACTCCAAAGCAAAGCTTGCACTAGAAATTTGAAATATTTTAAAAAGACCTACATACTTAATGTGGACATGAATTGAGCAATCTAGTCTTGTTCTTTCAATAACTTTTTTTATTTTTAAAAGATGAATTTAATTGCGGTAATTATTTTATAGTAAAACAATTTTGGTTTGTAAGGTATTTATTTAAAATGTTTAAATTGATTTGTCTATTGGTTTCCGTCTTGTCCCACAAGGAACTCTGTACATTTGTATTTAAGATAGTAAATACCGAAATTGTGGCCTCCGCGCTAAAGGAACATGTAACTGACTGTCAATTGTGGTGCTTGTTTAGTAGTTTTGGCTTGTTGCGGGTACTCGGTGAAGCTAAGTATGGTGCAGGTTTTGCTGAATTCGGCAACAACACTTAATGAAGCAAGTAACTTCCGTATGGACTGCATTTTGAAAAAAAAAATCCAAATAAATATCTTAGATTGTATTTCTTTTCAAATCATCAAACATTGTATGATGATGATAAATAATGTTCGTAACAGCTATTTTATCTGCATAGTTGATTCTTTTTAACTGCCTATTACATATATAAATCTTCTAAAGTTTACAGAACACATGCGTGCCCACTACAGCATTGTAGTTTTCGAGGTGTCAGCGGACGGTCAGGACGCTAACTTGACGCAGACGCAGCTCACCCGGGTGGTTGGCGAAGCTCGACGGGTAGGTCACTCTCACATTACTGCTGTTGCTGGTAGGTCACTCTCACATTACTGCTGGTGTTGGTAGGTCACTTTCACATTACTGCTGGTACTGGTTGGTCACTCTCACATTACTGCTGGTGCTGGTAGGTCACTCTCACATTACTGCTGGTGCTGGGAGGTCACTCTCACATTACTGCTGATGCTGGTAGGTCACTCTCACATTACTGCTGGTGCTGGTAGGTCACTCTCACATTACTGCTGACGCTGGTAGTCACTCACATTACTGCTGGTGCTGGGAGGTCACTCTCACATTACTGCTGGTGCTGGTAGGTCACTCTCACATTACTGCTGGTGCTGGGAGGTCACTCTCACATTACTGCTGATGCTGGTAGGTCACTCTCACATTACTGCTGGTGCTGGTAGGTCACTCTCACATTACTGCTGACGCTGGTAGTCACTCTCACATTACTGCTGGTGCTGGGAGGTCACTCTCACATTACTGCTGGTGCTGGTAGGTCACTCTCACATTACTGCTGGTGCTGGGAGGTCACTCTCACATTACTGCTGACGCTGGTAGTCACTCTCACATTACTGCTGGTGCTGGGAGGTCACTCTCACATTACTGCTGGTGCTGGTAGGTCACTCTCACATTACTGCTGGTGCTGGGAGGTCACTCTCACATTACTGCTGGTGATGGTAGGTCACTCTCACATTACTGCTGGTGCTGGTAGGTCACTCTCACATTACTGCTGGTGCTGGTAGGTCACTCTCACATTACTGCTGACGCTGGTAGTCACTCTCACATTACTGCTGATGCTGGTAGGTCACTCTCACATTACTGCTGACGCTGGTAGTCACTCTCACATTACTGCTGATGCTGGTAGGTCACTTTCGCATTACTGCTGATGCTGGTAGGTCACTCTCAGTTTACTGCTGATGCTGGTAGGTCACTCTCACATTACTGCTGGTACTGGTAGGTCACTCTCACATTACTGCTGATGCTGGTAGGTCACTCTCACATTACTGCTAGTGCTGGTAGGTCACTCTCATATTATTGCTGATGCTGGTAGGACACTCACATTATTACTGACGTAAGTAGTTCATTTTCATTTTACTACTGACGAGAGTATGACACTCACTTTCTGACAACATATAGTTACTTTAATCTTAAAAATGACACTTTTAGGTCACTCACAATTTCTGCTGATGCGTTAAAGTTAATAAATTATTACTAATAGAGAAATGCCACTCCAATTACTGCTATCAATGGAAGTCCACCCTCATATCACTTCAGAGAAGGGTTGGTGAAAAGAGCATTTAGGAGAGATTGGTTGGCTTTGTTCTCGAAACACAGTAGGGGAACCCTTTGTTTGAATCCCGGGTGATACTGTACCGTCCAGGGTTCGAATGTGACTGGGCACGTTTCCTATCACATAATCATACCTGTCATTACCTAGCAGTAAATAGGTGTCCGAGAGTTAATCAGCTATTCTGGGGGTTACACTGCAATCTGTTATTTGTAAAGCACGTCGCATTTTGACGTATACTTTACCTACCTGCTTGATGCTCGATGGGGTTCTGGGAGTTCTTCTACTCCCCAAGCGCGGCCTTGACTTGTGAGTTTGGTTCACTAGGCTGTTGCTTGCAGCGGGCCGCATGTCCACATATCCTCTACAGCCCGGTTTGTCCGGCACTCCTTGGAGAAAATAATCTAGTTTTCTCTTGAAGATGTCTACGGTTGTTCCGGCAATATTTTTTATGCTCGCTGGGAGGATGTTGAACAACCGTGGACCTCTGATGTTTATGCATTGTTCTCTGATTATGGCTATGGCACAATATCTAGAGATGGTGCAACCCCTTATCCTTTATCCATTCCCTTATTCAACTCTTATCCATTCACCAACATGACTTCAGAAAAGGTATTTCCTGATTAGCGAGTCTACTGTGTCTTTTCTAAAATGGGGTATCCTATACATTTGTACTGGTCTGTGCAGCAAAGATCTTTTATCTCTGCGTTCAATTTCCAATAGTCTAAATGCCTGGACACAGTCTTTCATTGCCCAGCTCCGTGTCCTGAAACACCCTCCAGATGGGTGGCCCGACTGGCCAAATGCTGTCTCCTGATAATTTAATTTCCTGAACTGGAATTAGACATTTGATGCAGCTGCACACTAGCGACTGCTGTATATACTGGAGAGTCAAGCAGCGGCCACTAAACACCTGGTCATTTACACTAGAGAGTACCTCTCTGACTGGAAAACCTAGGATTAAGACAAGAGATAAGATCTGAGAATACATGTAGGTCCCAAGGTGAAGTGTATCAAAAAGGATCAATACTACTACTGATATAAGCTGCGCAAATGACTAAATAAGAATAACCCGACATATTGTTAGAAATACTTGTGGAAAAGGTGTTGCGGCTTGTGGATACTTGTGGATAATATGTTGTGGCTTGTGGATACTTGTGGATAATGTGTTGTGGCTTGTGGATACATGTGGATAATGTATTGTGGCCTGATACTTGTGGATAATGTATTGTGGCTTGTGGATACTTGTGGATAATGTATTGTGGCTTGTGGATACTTGTGGATAATGCAGACTGAAGAAACACATTACACAGGGTCAATGTAAACAGATGCAACACGATATGGATAAACTTCACAGATTATCGGACTAGTTCGATTCCTGGACAGGGCGATATATTTGATCATGCTACCCTTACACCTGACACCACTGTTCCCCTAGCAACGTTGATGCTGCCTCGCGCATCGGAACTCACCCAATAGGCGAGACCAAAGAGCCGAAGTTGAACCCTCCCCCTCCCCACCCCAACCGGCAAGCACAACTAGGTCAGTAAGTCGCATTTTTGACGGAATAGACCAACCCCTTAAAATGCTAAGTATCACCACAATTGAAAGCATTGCAACATTGACGTCTCCGATTCGTCGACGTCAATAACGCAGGTACTGTGACTAGGTTCGAACACGAAACAGTTGCATTTTTTACGGAGAGATAAATATAAGGACTATAGAGAGTCGACACTCGCTTCCTTTCACGTTCCCTGTGGAAGGTGTTGAGCAGGTGTTTCAAAAATGGGGCACTCGACTAGGGTGTAACCATGTGGGCGCACGACGAGGTGTTCAACAGGTGGGCGGGTGACCAGGTGTTCAACAGGAGGGTGGGTGACCAGGTGTTCAACAGGTGGGCGGGTGACCAGGTGTTCAACAGGTGAGCGGGTGACCAGGTGTTCAACAGGAGGGTGGGTGACCAGGTGTTCAACAGGAGGGTGGGTGACCAGGTGTTTAACAGGTGGGCGGGCGACCAGGTGTTCAACAGGTGGGCGGGTGACCAGGTGTTCAACAGGAGGGCGGGTGACTAGGTGTTCAACAGGAGGGCGGGCGACCAGGTGTTCAATAGGTGGGCGGGCGACCAGGTGTTCAACAAGAGGGCGGGCGACCAGGTGTTCAACAGGTGGGCGGGTGACCAGGTGTTCAACAGGAGGGCGGGTGACCAGGTGTTCAACAGGAGGGCGGGTGACCAGGTGTTCAACAGGAGGGCGGGCGACCAGGTGTTCAATAGGTGGGCGGGCGACCAGATGTTCAACAGGGGGGCGGGTGACCAGGTGTTCAACAGGAGGGCGGGCGACCAGGTGTTCAATAGGTGGGCGGGCGACCAGGTGTTCAACAGGAGGGCGGGTGACCAGGTGTTCAATAGGTGGGCGGGCGACCAGGTGTTCAATAGGTGGGCGGGCGACCAGGTGTTCAACAGGAGGGCGGGTGACCAGGTGTTCAATAGGTGGGCGGGCGACCAGGTGTTCAACAGGAGGGCGGGCGACCAGGTGTTCAACAGGTGGGCGGGTGACCAGGTGTTCAACAGGTGCGCGGGTGACCAGGTGTTCAACAGGAGGACGGGTGACCAGGTGTTCAACAGGAGGGCGGGCGACCAGGTGTTCAACAGGTGAGCGGGTGACCAGGTGTTCAACAGGAGGACGGGTGACCAGGTGTTCAACAGGAGGGCGGGCGACCAGGTGTTCAATAGGTGGGCGGGCGACCAGGTGTTCAACAGGAGGGCGGGTGACCAGGTGTTCAACAGGAGGGCGGGCGACCAGGTGTTCAAGAGGTGGGCGGGCGACCAGGTGTTCAACAGGAGGGCGGGTGACCAGGTGTTCAAGAGGTGGGCGGGCGACCAGGTGTTCAATAGGTGGGCGGGCGACCAGGTGTTCAACAGGAGGGCGGGTGACCAGGTGTTCAATAGGTGGGCGGGCGACCAGGTGTTCAACAGGAGGGCGGGCGACCAGGTGTTCAACAGGTGGGCGGGTGACCAGGTGTTCAACAGGTGAGCGGGTGACCAGGTGTTCAACAGGAGGACGGGTGACCAGGTGTTCAACAGGAGGGCGGGCGACCAGGTGTTCAACAGGTGAGCGGGTGACCAGGTGTTCAACAGGAGGACGGGTGACCAGGTGTTCAACAGGAGGGCGGGCGACCAGGTGTTCAACAGGTGGGCGGGCGACCAGGTGTTCAACAGGAGGGCGGGTGACCAGGTGTTCAATAGGTGGGCGGGCGACCAGGTGTTCAACAGGAGGGCGGGCAACCAGGTGTTCAACAGGTGGGCGGGTGACCAGGTGTTCAACAGGAGGGCGGGTGACCAGGTGTTCAACAGCAGGGCGGGCGACCAGGTGTTCAACAGGTGGGCGGGCGACCAGGTGATCAACAGGAGGGCGGGCGACCAGGTGTTCAACAGGTGGGCGGGCGACCAGGTGTTCAACAGGAGGGCGGGTGACCAGGTGTTCAACAGGTGGGCGGGTGACCAGATGTTCAATAGGTGGGCGGGCGACCAGGTGTTCAACAGGTGGGCGGGCGACCAGGTGTTCAACAGGTGGGCGGGTGACCAGGTGTTCAACAGGTGGGCGGGCTACCAGGTGTTCAACAGGTGGGCGGGCGACCAGGTGTTCAACAGGTGGGCGGGCGACCAGGTGTTCAACAGGTGGGCGGGTGATCAGGTGTTCAACAGGAGGGCGGG